TATTTGTTTTAATATTGTTTTCGAGATTGTTCTGCTATAGTTCAGATCTGCTTGTTTTCATTATCTTGGTTCCTCCTACCTGTCATTGGTTTGTGTTGAGATAAACTGATTTGTCTCATATAGTAAACAATATTATACAACTTTTTCTACAAGGTTGAGGACATAGAAAGGCTATCCCACCCCACAAAAGGTCTACAACTTCAGCCCAAATAAACGATTTCTATTCACCCCTTGCTCAGCTAAACTATCAGTCCGGTTGTTAGCCAACCTTGGAACCCATTCAGTTTCCACATGTATATTCCTTGTTAGCCATTTAAACTTCATCTAATTCCTCATTCCCAAATGTTCATTATGCTTTTCCTCTTTCTTAATCCAGCTAATTATCACCTTAGAATTACCTTCTATGACAAGTTTCTGGATGTTTATCTCACTTGCTAGTTGCACCCCTTCCAACACTGCCAATAGTTCAACCCTTACAGAATCTCCTTCTCCAATTGGCCCCAACTAAATTGCTTTTACAACCCCTTCATATCTTATTACCTTTCCCACCCCAGATGGACCCAGGTTTCCCATGCTACTTCCATCAAAGTTAAGCTTGAGATATCCCTTCTCTGGAGGTTCCCACCTCCTAATCACCCTGTCCGGCTGTCCCTTTTTGAATAAGAATCAGTCACCTCCCTCCACTTCATTAGGATGTAATCAAATGTGAAGGGATTGAAGATCTCCAAAGTATCCAAGAAACTGTTCAGATCTTGATACATTCAATCACTGCTTCCTTGGATCTTTTTTGCTCTTTGAAAATTCTTGCACTTCTTTCTTCCCACAACAATAGCCCTTATGCACCTCCACATTAATATTCCCCTTCTTCTATGTCTCAAAGTGACCAAAGAGAATAAGTATGTCTCACAAGCCTGATGAATCAACTTGCACCCAAAACCAAGAGAAGAATGAAACAACTCCCAATTCCCAAATACCAGAAACAAATGTACAGGAGATTAGTAAATGATAACTAGAATCATCACAAGCATTACAAAGAACACACCTATTAGAAGATAAGCACCAGTAGGGCTTTCTTCTTTGTATAACATCCATTATACTAATATTCTCATGAACCACTTCCTAGCAAAAAGCTTGAATTCTTGGTGAGATGGGCTTCCACCAAACCTCTTTAACTGGAAAAGGCTGAGAAGGGACAGACTAGCAAGACAAAGCTCTAAAAAAAAAGGCACAAGAGAAAAAACCACAAGGACTAGGGGTCCCCTTCCCTTTTCTTTGATCATCCTCTCTTGTCTTTAAAAAGTTGAGTGGCTGAGAGTTGTTCTAGTTCTTCCAGTTGGTGTTTTAAATGGTTGTTTGGAGGATGTGTTTCCTTTGGGGTGTTTATTTGTTCTTTTTTTTTTTTTTACTTTGAGGATTTTAGCTAAACCAAGAGGGTGAAATTTCAGATTTGAAGGACCATGGACAGAGGAGGCAATTTTTTTGCTATGAGCATTAAGTGTTTGTCCAAGAATTGTTGACTCCAACATGTATTTATTAGGTATACGGCAATTGTTTGAGAGCTTGTAAGTTTGAAAGGTTGTCAGAGAATGGTAAAAGTGTACAACTGATAGAGTGGGTCTTTCAACTCCCTGCTTTGCTAATACATCCGCCATACCATTTTCCATTCTACTCACCCATATAATAGAAGTAAGACTCCTTGCAAAAAAGTCTATTTCCCTGAAAACATGTCTGTAGAGCCAAGGTGCGGAGTTGGCCTGCCTGGTCCATGAGATGACTAATTATAAGTCCCCCTCAACTTCCAAGTCTCCGACACCCATCTGCTCCTCAAGCCTTGTAGTAGGGCCCAAATCTCAGCCTTCACTGAATTCCCAATACTAATTGGACCTGAATAAAAAGCCACCACTACACCTTGGTGGTTTCTAAAGACTCTTATAACTGCCCTTCCCAGATTTCCCATTGAACTGCCATCAAAGTTAAGCTTTAGCCTATTTACAGACGGAGGTTTCCAGTCTATTCTCAATCTCTCCTTGAATGTACCCATTTGTGCCACTTCAGCCCAAGCTCTTAGAATATCATTAGTTGAACACTCCCAGAAGAATTCTAGAGTTCTTACCCAATGCACAGTTATAACTGTTATAGCCTCAATCAGCTCTTCTTTGGTTCTACTTTTTTTTGTGGAAGATCCTTTAGGTTCTTACTTCTTTCTTCCCAAATAGTGCAAACTAAATCTGCTTTTACTGCCATCCGCATAATCCTTTGGTTTTGTTCTTTGTCACTGTATTGTTAGCAGCCCATATTGCAGTGGAGGTATTTGGTGAAATACTCAAGTGTCTTCAACAGCGAAGTCCCTTGCACCATGTACATGTCTGATAAATTGCCTGAAGGGACTACAGATTTTGGTTATGGGGGAGTTTAGTTGTTGGTTTTCGAGTTATCTTTGTGCTGTCATCAGGGCATTTGGAATGTTAAATCTCTGATTACGTGGTGCCCTCTTCCTTGAATAGTAGTGGTTGGGGTTTGAACTTTGTGGTATTGATAGTGTACTGTTATTGCTAGGAGATGTGCCTAAAGTTGAACTCAGAAGTCGGTTGTGTATTGGATAAGAGCTGTGGCCAACTATGAGTATCATGTTGGACATATCTTGGTGCAAGAACTGTGAGCCACCATGAGCACCATCTAATCAATTGATGACATATCCTTCCATGGACCAGAGCTGTGTGTGCCCATGAGTGCTTTCAAGCTGATTGGATCCTTGGTGCAGCATAAAAGCTGGTTGTCACCATACCTGGAGTCTTCGAGTTGCCTTGTTCGAGAGTTGCCTCAAAAGACTAGTTTATGTCTTTTCGTTCTAGGCAAATCAAGGTTCAAAGTTTTGACATGATACACCCCATATCGGTCATATATTTTTTGTCATCAATATGTTAAACACAAGACTTTTATAGAGTTAGTTTTCAAGTTATAATAGATGGTGTGACAGGTCCCCCTATCAGTTTGTCAAACAAAAAAATAAAAAATATATAGAATTTTGGCTCACCTGAACCAGTGTGTATCGATATTTTGAAGTTTGAACCTTGAGACAAACTAGCTGGTGCTAGCTTGAGGAGGAGTGTTGGAGTATTCAAACTGTATCGGGCATGAGTAGGAATAGCAACGGGGCGGGGCGGGGCGGGGCGGGGCGGGGCCCGTCCCCATCTCCGTTAACAGGGACAAGGTTATCCCCATCCCTGTCCCCACGGGGATCCCCATTCCCCATAATTTTTTATAATGTTAATCATTTTGTTTTTGTTTTTTATTTTATTTAAAAAAATAAAAATGAAATAATTAAAATTTACAATCCTATTAGAAAATATTCAACCATATTTTTAAAAATATTAATATATAGACGTATGTGTACATATATACATATATACATATATGACGTATGCATACATATATACATATATATTAGTGGGGATCCCATGGGGCGGGGAGTGCTTTCCCCATCCCTGTCCCGTCCTTGCTAATGGGGATGAAAATTTCCCCATCCCCGTCCCCACGGGGGAAAATCATCCCCATCCCCGCCTCATTCGGAGCGGATCCCCACGGGGATCGGGGAAATGGGGAAAATTACCATCCCTAGGCATGAGGAAAGGGGGTATTTTTGACAGAAAAGTTATAATCAGGAGCCTTAATGTAATATCTGCCTCATTAGAGTTTATTTTGTAATTCAGTAATTTGGATATTTATGGTGTTAATATAAAGTATATCTCTTTTTAGGTTTCAAAGAAGATTGAGAAATGCCATTGATTAACTATGAAGATTACATGATATTTATAGACCGAGAGTTCTATTTCAATTGAAACTCTACCTCTACCTAATGTCTACTCTCTCTTATTCATATCTTAATTAACAATAACCCAAACTTGTCTCAATTTCCTAACACGCCCCCCTCAAACACATGGGGATCAAAGATCTACATGTGTTTGACCAAATGATGATGACTTTAATCTTCCAACCTGCTGTGATGACGATGATGATGATGCATCCAAATCTCCCTGCCTGTTGTAATGAGAATGTGGAAAATAGATGACATGTTAATGTGGTAGTCGTGTTGTGTCTTCAAGAGAGAGCCTCTAGGGGCTGATAATCAAAATAGAAAATAGGCCAACACGAGACAAACTGAAAATGCGCCAAAACAGGCCACAAACAGACCGTGTTGGGTCAACCAAATTGCCTCCATGGGCAGGCTTGAGATCATTCGGTAATGGGCCGCATTGGGCCAATACGAAAATGGGGCAACAATGACTAATAAAGACCATGATGGATCAACAAAAGTGCCTTAATAGGTTAAACCGAAAATGGGCTCCTATGGGCAAAAACAATAATTGCCACAATGGGTTTGAAACTTAAATGGAGAAGAGCAGCAGACTTAGAAAATTTGTTCAAACCAACTGGTTTGACTTGATTGCACCATCTAAACTGGATTGACTGGTCTCAATCGGTCCAACCAATTTAACCATTTTCTTTTGTAAAGTTTGCTATGGTTAGTATCCCTAATTCTTCTTTGTCTATTCTATTGTTCTTCTTTCTTCTCTTTTCTCATTAGAATCCCAGCATCACCCCACATGACACTCAGTAACCTGTTAGAGACAACCAATCTCTCTATTAGTTAAGTTGGAAGACCTCCAGGTTGGCTTTTTTTTTTATCAGCAGGTTGGCCAATAATTTTAAACAAAAGAGCAGCATGATTTTCCTTTTTGTGTTCCAGAAAGAACTTAGGGATATAAAACAACAAAACTTGAAATATATGCAAGCAAATTTCCTTCACAAATAAAATAACAGAAAATTTAAAATGTGTGACGTTTTCTTTAGTCCTTAAATATCAATCAATAGTTGAAACAACTCAAGGAAGTTAGAAAATAGCTTCACTGATGTCATAAAGCTTCCTAGCATAGAATATTCCAACAATTACCAAAGATTAATCAAGTATGACAATGTTATATGACTGAACCAGTGTATACCATTGTAGGAATGCGGCTGTTCTCACTATAATGTTCAGACCTCAGGTTTACAAAATCAATCCATATATCAAATAAGCGCATCCTTGCTGTTTCCAAGTGTTTTGATTGATCAGGATTGCTGCAAAGTTAGAAAAAATGAACATAATGACACCAAATATACCGGTGATAAGCTCCACTTCCATTTGAAATCATCATCTAATCATTATAAAGAACCAACGTTGCAGTGCTTAAGGTGATCTGAGTTCAAAATTTGCTATCAGTGACAGAATAAACAACTTATGACACCAAAATACAATAGAAAGAAACTATGTTGTTTAAAAGGCCCAGTGCTATGTTTAGCTAAAATAATTCATATGAATGGTATCCATAGTCCGATATTGACTATATGTATAGAAAACAACAGTTCATCTACTCATCGTGCAAGCAATAAGAAGATACATCACTTGGATACCAAATATAAACAAAAAGTACCCCACTGAGGTTGTTGTTTCTTACTGTCATCATATCAATTTTCCTCAAAAATAAAAATGTTTTCAGTTTGTTTTGAAAAAACATACATCCAAAAATGCTTTCCTGTTTTTCTGCTGACATGGCATTTCTTAGAAACAAGAAAAATAAAAACATTCATGTTGAAGAATACCTCTTTATAGTTATAGCATCAGCGGCCTTCTTTTTTCTTTCCAAGTCATCTTACAATGAGCATCCAGACAACCTTTTCCATATTTTAGATACCATTTGTCACGACCTAACTTTCCATTAGCCTTAATGTGGCAGTGCACCCATCTCACATAAAATAAGTTGTAAACCCCCAAATGTGGTAGCTAAGAGAACCTAAGTGCTAGAAGAGAACACAAGACAACTCTGAAAAGAGACTTGTATTGATCATTTGTTTGTTGCTTGAATACCAACAGGGAGGGAGGCAATCCCCAAGTTTCCAACCATAAAAAATGGGGAGGAGGCAACCCCTATATGTATAAAGACTCCACCTCCTCAATGGATGGCAATAAATAGAAACCTTGTCATCAATCAACAGCTATGAACGTTCTAGAATGTTATTTCTTTTTTATTGGAAACTGTTCAGAAGAAGTTGAGATGGAACTTCTGTTAAGAGAAGTTAAGATGGAAGGGCAGTTTGTGGGTTCTTCTCGTTGGAGAAAAAGCTTGAAGGTGGAGGCAAGGGATTTCTTGTTCGAAGAGCTGAAGATCAAAGGTAAACCAGTTCTGAAGGTAAGGGAGATGAAACTGGTGACAGTTTCTCTGGAAGGTTTGGACACAGTAAAATGGTCAAAAATTTTATATCTGAAGCAGCTTCGAAAGGCAAGCAGCTTAACTGGAGAGAGAAACTTACAGAGACTGGTAGAAGGTACTCGATAGAATGTAGGAAGAATGCCAAAGGTTCCTTCATAGCCCTCTAAGAATTTTTTGCAAAGAACGGAAAACAACTAGTGTGCTTTCCAGAAGGCAGAGACAGCGAAGGGTGGAAAGATGTGACTGCAGCCTTTCAGGTTTTTTTGGATTGCAAAGAAGCGAATGCTAAGGAAAGTCTTGGATGGACATAACACTAATTAGGTCCACCCTTGCAAATTTGCCGATTTATTTTTTGTCTGTTTTCAGGGTTCCAAGAGGGATAAGCAAGCAACGAGAAAAAATGAGAAGAGATTTATTATGGGAGACAAGGGAGGAGGAAAAGACCATAGAATCAGTTGGGAGGTGGTTAAAAGAAGTAAGAAATTTGGAGGGCTAGGGTAAGGGAATATTCAGGAGAGGAATGTAGCTCTGCTTGCAAAATGGCTTTGGAGGTTGCCAATTGAGGGATAACCCGTGGGTAGAAGTGATTATCAGTATTCATGGTCTTGCAGCTGATTGTTGGGATGCTAGTGTGTTGTCCAGGGCTACAAGAGCTTCCCCTTGGAATTCTATTCATGGCACCCTTTCTTCATTCTTACCATTTGCCAGGTATAACCCTTGCTTTGGTAATACTGTTAAATTTTGGGAGCACTTGTCGTTGGGTAATAAAACTGCCTAAGAGCAATTTCCCTCAATTTATGTAATTTCTAACTGGAAGAATGAACCTATCGCCTCATTTATTAGCCATTCCAACTCAACGTCTGGATTTGTTTGGGACTTGGGCCTTAGGAGGGGTCTTAGGGATTGTGAGGCCATCAAGTACTTTTTCTTGCGCTTCTTTTTGTCTATCCCTAACCCAGACTGATGATAGTCAGAGCCAACTTTTGCCAGTTAATGAGGTTTGGAGTAAGACTATTCCACCTAGGATTGGTGACTTTTGTTGGTAAGTGATTCTTGGTAGGCTCAATACTTATGACTTGCTCCAAAGGAAAAGACCTAAGTGGTGCTTATCTCCTCATTGGTGCCTTCTCTATAAGGCTAATGGTGAGTATTACCATCATTTATTAACATCTTGTCCTTTTGTTCTTCCAATTTGGGATTGGTTTCTCTCCTTATTCGGGTGCAAGTGGAATCCCCTGTCAAATGTACAGCTTATTCTACCCCACCCCACCTTTGTTAGCTGGAAGAAGAAGAGGCAAGATATTGTGGAGATGTCTGAGAGCTGTTGTGTGCTGGATGGTTTGGGAAGAAAGAAATCAAAGATTATTTGCAGAAAAGGAATGAAATAGGGAAGCCCTCATTGAAGAAATTACAACTAGAGTGATTTATTGGGTGAAGACTCTGAAATTATTTAAGGAGTTTCTGCTGCTGATCTGATGAGAAAGTGGGGGGAAGTGGCTGACTCTGCTCCATTAAAAACTGTAATTAAACCATCCTGAACCCCTCCATCAAATGGATTTATCAAATTGAATTTTGATGGTAGTGAGGGTAACCCTGGACCTTCTGGCATAGTAGGGGATTTCAGAGATGAGGAAGGCACTATTAGGACTATACTTTCTTGTCCTATTGGTCTAGGTGACTCATTGAGAGCTGAAATCCTTGCTGTGATGGAAGGAATTCAGAAAGCCAAGGAGTTGAATGTTTCCAAACTGATAATTGAAGGGGACTCAAAGCTCGTTATTGGTTGGCTCCAAAAGGAGGAGAAGATGGACTGGTGGGAGTATATAAATGAAAAAAGGAAGTTCAGAAGACTTCACTCAAGGAATGGAAATTCAATTTAACTGGATTAAGAGAGATACCAATAGCTTGGCTGATACTTTGGCTAAGCTATGCTGTAATGTTTTCTTTTTTGGGAGTGGGAACTAAGAGAGTTTATCTCCCCTCTCCTTGTATCCGCTTATTTATTTTTTAATGAAATCCATTCAGCTGTAATGTTTTCCTTTTTGGGAGTGGGAGCTAAGAGAGTTTATCTTCCCCCGACTCCTTGTATTCACTTATTTATTTTTTAATGAAATCCATTCAGTTATTGATAAAAAAAAAAAAAAAAACAGAAAGTCTTGGAAGGACCAAGAAGGGTGAGGAGTCTTTCAAGATAGAGCTTAGTAATGCCACTGTGGAGCAGGAGATGGTGTCTATGGCACAGAATATCAGCAATCCAACACTGATGGTAAATGCCAAAAACAAAAATTGGGCCAGCAAATGGGTGTTGGTTGCAGAGAAACCAGTTACAGATTGGAAGAAGGTAACAGGTCTACTGATACATAAGTTCAAACCATCTGCTAGGCTGTTTGCAGATCTGTAAAACCATCCCACTCTTGAGCCCATTTCCTCCATGAGAGCTCAAATCTCCTGTAGTATATGTCTATACTTCCTTGCCACACTGCACCCAACCCTGCCCTTGTTAAATCCCCAACTCCTATGGAGCCTAAAAATAAAGCCAAAATATTGCCCTCGCTGTTCCTGATGACTCCTCCCACACCTGAATCTCCTGGATTGCCTATGCTGTGTGCATCTGTCAAAGTTGAGTTTAAGGTCTTCTTTGGAGAAACATGTGTTGATTTTATTATGATACACCTCCCAAATGAAGGCCCTAATCTTTGGTGGTACTGGCCTTCACCATATGGCATTAATAGAAAAAGAAGGGGAGAATTAGAGTCCAAAGTAAGGCCCTCAAAGAAGGAAGCACAAGAGAATAAACCAGAAGGGTTGAGGGTCCACATCTAAGAAAATCCCTTCAAAAGACTCAATTTGATGTGGGCACTGGCAGCAGCAGCAGTAATTTAGTGCAGCAGCAGTAGTAATTTAGTATTCTCAGCAGCAACAATTTAGTGTTCTCATCCTATCTTATCTATTCAGTATTCTTACCTTATCTGCTTTCAGTAGCAGGGATTAGTAGGAGTCTTATCTATTCAGTKWTCTTATCTTATCAGTTCAGTAGGATAGATTAAGGGAGTCTTATCTTATCTAATTACAGTTCTTATCTTATCTTATCAGTTCAATAGGATAGATTAAGGAA